AAAGTGAGACATCTGTGGATACTAAACTGTGACAAGACACATTTACAAGCTGTTGTGGATGGAGGGGCCCCCTTCTCAAATTTTCCTTTTAACTTTTAAGTCTTTAGGGTATAATGTGAGCCAGTATTGCTAATTTTACTTAATGTGGTCTAGTAGCATGACAAGTTCTGAAAAGCTCATCTCTAACTTTGAACATGAGGGATGAACAGAAAAGCCATGTACTTTTCTTTTTTTTTTAAAAACACCAATGGATACAAATTAAATGATGGGTATATTTGGCTTCATTACCACACACTTCCACCTCAAGTAATTTTACAGAACACATGCATGAGCCTGGCTGACCTGCATCCATTAATTAAATGGTCTTTGCATGGAAGCTACAGGTATGTTTACTGCTCTCTTAGCATTGTGGTGACTGTCTCATTAGATAAATCCTCTTACAAACCCTCAATGCAGTGTGGGGTAGCTAGCTTTAAACATCGTTACAGCCCAAACAAAACCACTGATGGAGTCTGATTTTCTTTACAAATCGGAAATCTTGCCGCAGATCCGATGCTAATCTGATCTTAGCCTTCCAGAAGTCTTAATGAAGCCTCCTGTAGCCAAGCTAACAGCGGTGCCGCTACGCTAGTCGTGCCATGCGGTACACCTGACCCATGCTACAGCTAAAATAAACCGACTCTTTCGCCAATGAAGGATAAAGCGGTCTGCTATATTAGCCTTGCCGATACACTGTGAGGTTTTACCCAGTTTGTAAGGCAGCGAGTCACGCTGAGTCCCTACTTCATTGAGGCCATGCCACCCTCCCGCCTTTCCAACAGCATGTTTCAAGCTGCTAAAGCTAGCTAATCATTCAGCCTGTACTATCGTACTTTCCCCCCACTGCGCCTTTACGTACGCTCCCCACAACTTACATGTCTTGGTGTGAAGTGAATTTCTTTATCACAGATAAAACAGCCTCGTGAAAAAGATCGGTGGCGCCTGTAAAACAAGAAGGAATGCCGCCCAACACACGGCCAAAGCAAACGCCTCTAGCCCCTGGACTCTACTCCGGATCTTATTGCGTATCCCAGGAACGGAATAACAGTGCTGACGCACTCCGAGCGCACTAGACGTTTCTAGAGCTTTCAGCCACAGCTGCGAGTGATGCGAGAGAGGGCGACTACTATGGCAAGTCACTACAACCTGACTGCGGTCCAAACACCTCAAACGGTTTATCAAGGCTTATGAAGCTGCAGGATCCTTGTAGTATGTAACTGCAACTAGCAACTCAAATGCATGCAAAAATATAAATACAGATAGATCCATAAGTATTTTACTCTGACGGTTTTTTTGTTTTGTTTTTAATGATTTATTTTTATTTTGCCACCACAGTTTTTAAATCAAGCAAGATGTAGCTCACTTTCAGGTTTAATTTAAGTGGTTTAAATGAATAAATATTTAAAAAGAAAAACTGTCCAAACACCTACGGACCTAATATCCCGACAATTTTACTTATAATCTAAAACACTTGAGCACATATAATCTGTGTTAATATGTGCTCAAGTGAAAATAAAACAGTCAGAAAATAAATACAATATAAAATATAGAATTAAAACATGTAAAAGGACATGCAACACACAATTTTGTTAAGAAGTTTGTATTATTTTACTTAAAAAAGACTAAAAGATAAATAATACATAATGAGTTTTTGTTTTTTTTAAACGGTGAACACCGAGTACGGCAGTCAAACGAGTAAAGCAGGGTTTGAAGCCATCGACCTTTTCAAGGAATGATCAGAAGTTGATAACACAGTCTAGAAAACTGGATACTGGTTGCAACATTATATCAAATACATTACATTCCAACATTCTGTTTATAAAGTGTTGCATATAAATCACAGCTGGGAAAAGAAAGCAGGTAAAATAAACGTGTTTTATTGAAAAAGTGGAACCATTGACGTCACCGATCATGGGAAGGGCTACCACAAGAAATTCACCAATGATTGGCTACTCACGAATTCTCCGGTTTCTGCTCATAATACCCTGTAATAATCGGTTCTCAAATATGTCCAAATGCGTTCTACTTCACATGTAGAAATTGTTCAACAGTATCACAAGCACTGGGACTGTGCTGCTGGAAAAGCAGTTATGTCTGTAGTTATCCTGCGAGGTACAAATAGTTTAAGTAATGGGAAAAAACCAAGCACCATGGAGCACCATTAACTCAAAAGGTGTTTTGATGATGGCCGTGAAAAGCTAACACCTCACTCTGAAATCTCCCATAGGTGCTCAGCTGGGTGGAAATCTGGATCTGGCTGTGTGGCTGAAAGCATAGCCTCCCTGGAGTCATATCCACCTTTTGCCCATCGCCAGCATGACCTTGGCTCCACAGTTGGTAATTAACAGTGCCAGGATGGTACAGTACCATTGTGGGATTTGTTTAGAATTTTTGTATAAGCCATATATATGAGAGCAATCACAGTGTCTTACTCAGTCTTTGTGCAAAGCTGTATCAAGATTGGTCTACTCATCTAGGGGAAGATAGGGAACATGCAAACATGTGCTATGATCATGAATGAGATGTTTTCAACTTGCTTTTCAAACATGCACTTTCCTCTCAAATCATGCTCTCAGTTAAAAAAGCCTTTGGAACTTTATCAGGTTATAATTTCTGTATTTAACCTTGTATGGGATTAATCTTTCAAACCTAGTTTACTTTCATTACATACCCTAAATGTAGGTTTGTTTCTAACAAACTATAATAAAAACATATTTAGTGTTTAAGAAAGCTTGATTTTAAAAATAATACAATATTAGAATTGTCTTCGATTTTTTATTACATATCTTTTTACGTTGATGTAACTTATACATGGCTCCTAGAACTAATGATTTTGTGTATTTTAATTTTAGTCTTTAAATAGTTAAAAATGTTGTCAGTGCAAGATCACCAGTTAGGTAACTTGATATGAATCTCTTGTTCCACCACATCCCTGAGGTGCTGTACTGGGTTGTTATCTGGTGATTGTGGAGGCCATTAGTGTGGTGAATGTACTGTTATGTTAAAAAAAAACAAAAAACAGTTTAAGAAATGGCCTGTTATCCTGCTGAAAGCTGTCATCAGAAGATGGGTTCACTGTGGTCATAAAGAGATAGGCGCAGTCAGCAACGATAGGTAGGCTGTGGTGTTTAAACAATGCTTAACTGGACCCAGAGTGTACCAAGACAATATGCTCACACCATCACAACACCCCTGCAAACCAGAACTGAGGCAGGCGTAGCATCTGAATGTTGCATGTTGAGTTTTAACTGAAATGCTACATTCAAAGTCACTTAATTCACCTTTCTATACCTATCTGATGCCCAGTTAAAATGTCATGCGCTCACTGACGACATCTACATAACTAAATACACTGATATTATACTTAGCCTGATAGGGTGAAGGACACTGTCTCAGCTGAACTATGGACACGCACACACTTACACTGATAAGCACTCACACATCCCCCCTCCCCTTCAAATGCCTTCGATGCTTGTTGCCTCCTGGGAACACGAGGCGGGTCTGGGCCCGCGCTGGAGAGTCGGCGCAGTGGCAGGATGGCTGCTGTGTTGCCTGGGATTACTCCTTATCCCCTATCCAACCCTGTTGCTGGTCACGTGCTCTATAATGTTGTACTGTGGACATTTGTGTGCTTTCTGTGCAGTTTTGTTTCCGGTCTCATGCTGTCCTCCTGTAGCCCAGCATGAGCAGAGGTCTCTTTTTTTCCTCTTGTACTTTTCCCATAGTAGTGTACATTTCAGTGGTTTTTCTGTAATGCAACCGTTCTCTGACTTGTATCCCCATGTGAGGTCTGTGTTGTGTGTGTGTGTGTGTAAGGTCGGGGGGCGGGTTCATTCCACTGCAGGGCAACCTGCCACTGCATGTGGCGAATAAAATTTGAACTGAAACTGAACTTGGCTGCCATGCACTTGGCGTGATGAAATAGTGTTGAACAGGTGTACCTAACATAGTCACTGGTGAATGTATACCAACCATATTAATCACTGCTCAGTCTGCCAGTGACTTAAGTCATTTGCAAGCTAATTCAGCTATGCTTTAAGTATAATTTTGCGGCATTTTTTCTGCAATCAACAACTACTTTTAGCCGTACTGAATTTTCTTGTGCTTTTCCAGGGTCGGGTTGCGGGGGCATCAGCCTAAACAGAGAAACGCAGAGCTCCGTCTGTCCAGCCAGCTCCTCTGGGTTATCAAGGGGAACGTTGGGGTGTTCACAGGGCAGCCAAGAGTCCGTGTCCTGGGTCTACCCATTGGTCTCCCAGCAGGACACACCCAGGAGGCGCCCAACATATTGGTACTCTATATTAGCTTAACAGTTCTACCTTATAAATGTCACATTAAAACACTATACACAAAGTAAAAACAAGCAGATACAAATTTGATTATAGTTGTCTCAAATGACGCCGTCAGCAGTTCCTGAAAAAATAAATAAATAAATCCTTAAATCCTTTAAGGTCTGACAAAAGTACTCACTGTCATTTTGTGCAATTTCCTAAACAAATGAGAAGTTATGCATCAAGTCATTTCAGATTTATCAATTTTATTTTTTCCGAGAACAATGTGATACCTTCAGTCTTACACAAAGTCCACAAAACATGGAGAGATCTATAGTTTTCTTAGAGCAGGAATCCACATCCCCCACTAAATAAAAACACCAACATTCTTCTACAGTCAAGTTTTCAGATTTTTACTGCAAAACAAAACAAAAAATAAAACTAGTGTCTCCATTATACCTCTGTGCTGTTAGCACTGTAACAGCTTCAAACCTAACCTGCAGTCTGTATGCTGGGCCTTCGTAAGAAGACAGGAGAGGAAAAAATAAAAATCTGAATGAACCCACACTACATATATACATTTCCCAGATTAGGACTGTGACTATCCCGGCCTTAACCAGACTAATAATTACACTTGCTCATACAGCAGAGCTCCATTTTCCCCACTAAAGAACCACAAACGAAACAAAATTTAATTTCATCAAGCCACGACTTTATTTCCATCTTGGGTATAAATTGTATAAATGAGTTTGGATTAAATCAGCAACCTTTCGTCAACTCTTCGTCGACAGGGTCCCCATTACATTGTCAACTCCTGCAAAGCAGCAAAAGCAAAAGTCAGTGGATGTGTAAATATTAGCTGATATAATTTTAAAGCTTTGCTCTCTTCTCAGGACAGAAATATTGGCTTCATATGAATCAGAAGAACGAAAGTCACTGTGTTAAATCATCACTTAAGAGCGCTGGAGAGTAAAGTGTTTAAATTGTTGATAGATAGTCAAAATCTCACCATGATGGCATTGACGATGTCGTTGTTGTTATTTTTCAGGGCCCGAACAGCCTTCGCCCTCGACACGTTGGCTTGTGACATGACGAGTTCGATGTCCTTGACCTCAACTCCGGTCTCATCAACCTATGAAAATAATCAATGCAAACATTAATCATCTCTCCAACACAAAGCCATGCCCATCTTCATTTGACTAAACTGCATCTCACCTCTTCTTCTTCGCTTTCCTCCTGTACTGTTGGCGTCTGTGTGTTTTCCTGGACGTTTGATACAGTTTCTCCCGGTACCTTGAATTTTTCTGCAGCGGCCAGCTGGGCTTGCTGGGAAAGATCTTCAATCTGAGGAAAGCAGTGAGGAAGTTAAGAGGTCAGCACATCATTTAGCAAAAATATTTAGCTTATGAATGCGGTGATGAAGTCCATTTGCCTGCATTACACAAAGCTAAGACTACACACACTCAGCAGCTCTACTGACAAACCCTGACAACTGGTATTGTTGTTGGCGCGTTACCTTAGCTTCCCCGAAGACGATGTATGTATCTGATGCAGGGCTCTTGTAGACATCTGGTTTGGTGATGACGAACAAGATGTTCTTTGACTTGCGAATGGTGACCCTAGTGACTCCTGTTACCTGCCTGAGACCAAGCTTTGACATTGCCTGAAAGAAATGGAAGTAAATTTATCAAATCTAATCTTTAGACGTACAGAATGTTTATAGAGCACTGAGTGAACTGGGACTGTTACCTTTCGTGCCTTCTTTTCACTGCGGCTCTGTTTGGCTTTGCTGACAGGTTCCTCATCTATTTCGGCAGCTGCTGCAAGCTAAAGTAGAATTTACATTAAGTGTTTTACACCAACGAGTAAATGCAGAATCAGCGATTAGATACGTTTTATATTCATCTCTTCTCAGGACAGAAAGGCTGGCTTCAGTAGGTTCAGAAGAACGAAAGTCACTGTGTAAATCATCAGTGAAGAGTCAATGACGGACACCTATACCAGTGAACACAATAAACCAGACTCAAGTCTCACCTGAGCTTGCTGTGTCTGTGTCTGTGCAGAGTCCTGTTCCTCCAGCTCAGGGACTGAGTCGTCGCTGTCCGACTCAGTGCCGGATCCTGTAGAGACCAACAGAAAAACTGTCACAATGTGCCACTTAGGTTACATGTGTACACCTGAAAGTTAATCTGAAGGTAAGCTGCACCAATATTGTGGAACAAAGTACTTCGATTCAAAACAGCACATTTTCTGTCATCTTATTACCATTATAGTAATTTTCCTCAGGACTTTGAGAACATAATCTCTTTCCAGCCAAAAAAGCCATTTCCAAACTTGATCAGACAACACATGATAATACCAGCATTGACCTGCACTACATTTTAAACAAACAGTAACCAATAGAACTAATGCATTCCAAAACCAGGAGCACACTTGCCAAAATCTAATAGCATCTTATATTTTAGCATCTATAGGAGATATATTTATTTCGCAAGCTAACCTTTGTAAGAGAAAAGCATATTTAAGCATCCGAACATCTTTCAGAACGCTAACAGATGGGGGGGGGGGGGGGGGGGGGGGGAAGAAACCCCAAAACAAACAGACGGCACAAGAGGAGAGAAAGGAGGAAATACCATTATTGTTCTTGTCGTTCACAGGCTCCATCTTGGCTGGGGTTTTAGCAGGTGTGGGGACAGGCTTAGGTGGCGAGACAGGTTGAGGAGGAGTTGAAGTAATTAACTCAACCTCAGGTTTAACAGGGGCAGGTTTTGCAACTGCCTCAGCAAACGTGAGTTTACGGGGAGCTGGGTTAGGAACAGCAGGCTCAACTGGAGTGGGCTTTAAGGGAGCAGGTGAAGGGTCTGCAACTGGTTTTACAGGTTTAGCAACCTCAGCTGATGCTGCACTAACATCCACCACTTTGGCTGGCTTGACATCTTCAGCTGGCTTATGTGCTGCAGCTGTCATGTTAACATCAGCAGGGGCAGACATGACCTCTGCGTTTGGCTTTGCAGCCTTAGGAGCTGCAGTTTTAATCTCTTCAGCTTGTTTAGGAACCTTGTTGGGGCCAGATTTGGCCTCAGCCACTGGCTTAGGTGTCTTCTTGGAGGCACATTTGGCTGCCTTAGTGGCCTCAGTGGTTGTAGAGTTGGCTTCAAACAGTGGCTTAACGGTCTCTGAAGGAGCAGGTTTGGCTTCGGCTGCTGGCTTAGCAGTCTGTGGAGGAGCCGGTTTGGCCTCGGCCGCTGCCTTCGCATTCTCTGAGGGAGCCGGTTTGGCCTCGGCCGCTGCCTTTGCATTCTCTGAGGGAGCCGGTTTGGCCTCGGCCGCTGCCTTCGCATTCTCTGAGGGAGCCGGTTTGGCCTCGGCCGCTGCCTTCGCAGTCTCTGAGGGAGCCGGTTTGGCCTCGGCCGCTGCCTTCGCAGTCTCTGAGGGAGCCGGTTTGGCCTCGGCCGCTGCCTTCGCAGTCTCTGAGGGAGCCGGTTTGGCCTCGGCCGCTGCCTTCGCAGTCTCTGAGGGAGCCGGTTTGGCCTTCGCAAGTGGTTTAGCTACATTTGGGGCTTTGTCGACAGTTGCTGGCTTACTGGCCTCTATGGGAGCAGGTTTGGCCTCAGCTGTCTGCTTAGCAGTCTCAGTAGGCACAAGTTTGGCCTCAGCTACTGGCTTAGTTTCTGCAGGAGCAGGTTTTTCCTTGGCAGGTGGTTTAGTTCTATTAGAAGCTTTGTCAGCAGCCTCAGCAGAAGCAGTTTTGGCCCCAGGAGCTGGCTTAGCAGCCTGGGTAGGAGCAGGCTTGCTTGGGGTTTCCACCACAACCTCCTCAACTTTGCCAGGGTTTGCTGGTTTAGTCTTGGAACCTGCTTTAGGAGCTTTGACAGGAGCTGGTTTAGCAACATCATCAGCTACAGCTGATATTTCAGAAGACACCTTAGCAACTTCAGTGGGAGCTGATTTTACTGGGGCTGCTTCAGCAACCTTAACAGGCTTTGGCTTGTCTGCCTTTGGTTTAACTGGTGTCTTTGTAGCCTCTACAGGAGCAGAACTGCAGCTCTCAGCATTAGGCTTAGGAGATGTAGCAGGCTTTGTACCTTGTTTCTCAACAGGAGATGCACAAGCTGGCATTTTAACTGGTTTCTCAGGTGGGATAAGGGGAGGGAGCTCATCGTCAACAGATGCAATAAGTGGAGCATTTTTCAACGAGGTTGCTTTAACATCAGCTGACTTAGGAGGACTAGAGGCAATAGTATCTGAAAATGATACTGGTGCTGCAACAGCAGGCTTTGAGGTAACTTTAAAAGCAGGTGGCACTGCACCAGCCTTTGTCGCACCTGGTGATGGGGTTTTTGTCTCACTCAGGGCAGGTTTAGCATCATCAGCTACATTATGCTTGAGGCTAGGCTCTGTTGGCTTTTCATCAACTCCTGTGGCCTTGCACTCGGGGACAGGAGCAGGCACAAATGCCTCTCCCTTTTTAGCCTTACCATGTTTGCCAGCCTTGACAACTTTTGGGCCTGAACGGTTACCCTGATTAGCAGAGGAGCTGCCAGGTGAGGCAGCAAGGGGAGATGGCAAAGGTGACAATGGAGTAGAGGAGGGAGTTGATTTTGGCGAGGTAGGAGAGGACGAAGAGACAGACATAGAGGAACGCTTTCTTCTGCCAGGGACAGCCTTTGGGGCAGAGGCACCCTGTGCACTCTTGGCATTTTTGCCTTTGGGCTTATCAGGGCCTGAAGATGCCTCAGGTTGCTTGGAGGAAGCTGGGGCAGGAGGTGTAGCTGAACAAAAAAAGATTCAAGTTTTTCTTTTGTTTTGATATTGGAGGTCTTTCTCATGCGGGTTAAATCAAGACCCAATCTTCTGGCTTATGGTTAGGAAAAAAAGCATACCTCCCTTGAGTTGGATGCAAACAGCCACTCAATGTACAAGACACTTTAACTTCCACACTGAAAAACTATTTAGTGTAGACGCACATTTTACGAAATCACGCAACACAAACACAGCACCAATGAACTGGTACATCCAGTAAAAGCAAACACCAGGCAAAACAAACTAACCCAATTCAATTACATCCAAGTTTTTATTGAAATGGGTCATAATTATGCATTCGATTTACCATAATTTTTAAAAAACTACACTTTAGGCAAACAAATGTGTAAAAAGTCATGTAAGGATGGTAAAAAAGGACATTACACTGCATCAAAACAAGTCAAAGAATAACTACACTTTATGTCAATTATGATATACTTCCATAAAATTTAAACTCTCCCTTAAAAAAGCCAGCAGCCTCAAGCAACTTGGCACCTTAGTGTTAAATGTCATCATGACCACATGCTGAATAGAAACAAGCCAACAAGATGTATTGAAAAGGTGGGGACCAAATAAATCATAAATAAACAAGAGGTGTTTAATGTGATTCTGGTTTCACAGAACATAAACCAACCTGAAAGGTGGCGGGTGGAAACAGGTTGGGCTTCAGATTTAGCGGCATCCATTGACTGAATGACCTCAGACAGAAGTATTACAGGCTCCGTCTTGTCAACGTTTTCATTTTGAGTATCCATGGTGACGTTCACGTCACCAGCATCTACTCCATCTTGAGCTGCATCCAAGCACATATTCTTTAAACCTTCTACCACAGTCTCTGCGTCATCGCTGGCCTTCCCATCTTCAGAAGTACAAAGCTTTGGATCAGCTGAGGTTTTTCCTCCAGGTACTCCTGACTGTTCTTCAGAAGTCAGCATAACCTCTTGGGTGGTCAATTCTTCGGCTGAAATGAAGAACTGATTTTCCTCTCCAGCAATAACTGCTCCTTCACAAATATGCAGCTCTGAAGAAACACTCACAGCCTCAGCAGATTGCAAAGACTCATTGAGAGGTGCCAAACCAGCTGAAGCTCCTGCTACTTCAGCAGTGAGCCCTTGCTGAGACAAAGGTATTGGGTTCAACCCACTTGCTTCCATTTCCCTGGTCACTTCTTGGTTTGCAGCTACACCATTTGCTTGGTCACAGGTAGCCTGACTGCGAGCTTCTTCTGCAGAAGCGCTCTCTTTAGCTTGAGCAGAGGTTTCTGGGGGGTTCTCCAGTGGGATTGCCTTGCTCGCAGTGGAAACAGCTATCACAGGAGGAAATTCATTCAATACTAAGAACATTGTGACGGGGTGTAGGGCATTCACCGTGATGACTTGAGGACCAAGACTACGAGCTTCAACACGACAAGGAAAAAAAAATAAAATAAAATTGTGCTCCACACGTGAAGAAGAATTTGTGTATGTGAGAAAGTTGCAGCAATGCAGGAATCAGCCCAGTTTTTTGTTGTTAAATATGCTCCCAAAATCCCCCCAAAACAAAACTGTGCTCAAGTCCTAAAATACGTGCAATGTCCAAATGTGACAGGAAACAGCAGCATGTCAATTCAAAGTGTAAGACTCGATATACAGGACTGCACTTAGAAACCGCTGAACGAGATCACTTCACTGCTTCAGTAGCATTTCTTGACTAAATCAAAAGTACTCTTATACCAAGAGGAGATCAGTACAGGCAGCATTAGCAGATCTACAGGCAACATTACTATGAAATGTGTCTCTGTTAATTACCTCACAGCTTTTATCTTGAACAATATCCAGAACTCACCCAGTCTAAAGCTCCAGCCACTACACCTTTCCAGTCAAAGGTTAATTTGTGTTCCTATGAACGTCACATTGCTCCCTCTAGTCTAGAGCTGGGCGATAGAACAATAACGATATGTATCGCGATATAACTTTTACTCGATAGAGAAATTAAGCTATCGCGATAGACCTCGCCGCTCTTGTCCTCTTAAAATAAAAAAAAATAAAAAAGAACAGCCAATCCAAACTAAGTAGCGCAGAGCCGAACCAATCACAGCCGCAGCGTCACGTCACGTCGCGTGACTTGTTACGTACAGCACAAGTGCCAAGCCGCACGTGTGTTTGTTTGGGAAGCAGCCAGCGGGTAATGGAGGAAATGAGTGTGCCGACTAGAAAAATCAACCGAGCGTGACCGAAGAGAAAACAGATGATGGTTCCAACGCCGGAGAGATTGTCGAACGGAAGAGCCATAGAAGTTCCGTAGTGTGAAGGTATTTCGGCTATTTCAAGTCTGACAAAAAACAGAGTAGCGTGCACTGTAAATTGTGCCGAAAGCAAGTCTGGAAATACAATAAACTGGTGCATGCGTCACACTGTGCGCCACGTTATTGTTTCGGTGAAATGAATTTCTACAATACTGTTAATTGTACTCTCTGCAGTGTTTAAATGCTTACATATACACAGTTACTGTCCCTCCACACATACGACTCGGTTCTGTTTCTATGCCGCAGCTTTGTTTACTTTTTCCCACCGAGGCTTCTAGACTTCTGATTGGCCAACATTTCTGCACGGTTAGGAATCTAGCGCCACCTGCTGCTTTGGCATGTTCATAGCAGCGTTTTCCTTCATTTCTGCCTTTATGTGTGGACGGGATTATTTTTTAAAACAAACGGAAAATCTCCGTTTTCAAAAATACCCGTGTACGCGTGGACGTAGCCTCAGTCTCTGACTGGAAGCGCTAATTCGTCATTTGGCTTTTGTCAGACTAAAGTAACTGTTAAAACTGTTTGAAAAGCTCAGCTATACAACAAGGAGAGATTGAGAATTTCCTTTTAGTTCTCAGTTTATTTGATATTGACAAAAGTTAGTCAGTTTTGTCTGTTCTTCTGTAAAACAAACTAAGATTTATTTTTAGAATTAATATTTTGTTTCTAAGTGGAATTGACAATTTAGTCTGTTTTGTTTGTTCTATTTTGAAACTTAAATGCTTTAGCGGCTGCCTTTTGTGTAGTTTGCAATATTTGCCTTTATTTATCTGAAAAAGTCTCATGTTCCTTAACTCATTCACTGCCATTGACGTCTATAGACGTCAATTGAAAAACTTACGTTGACTGCCATTGACGTAAATATAGACGTCAATTACATTTTTCAATGGGAGGGGCTAGAATACAACCTCGGGCAGCTTGTCAGTGAATTTTATTTTTTCATATATTTGTAAATAAATTGTTTTGATAAAACATAACCTTTCTCAGTGTCATTTCTGTTTTATAGAAGTGAAAAACTATTTTATATGTTAGAGGTGTCACAAAGCAAGAAATATTAGTGTCAAAGGCACTTTTCTGCTTGAAATGTATTTTTCACAAAAAGCTCGTTTTCTCCCTTTTTTTGGTCAAGACAGGCATTTTTGGTGGAACCCACCTCTCTTCTACAGCTGATTACTAAAGAATGGAAAATGGTAGAAACAAGCTTTTTTTTGGATGAGTCTGTTCTTCATTTTGGTAGGTTCAGCGTTTATATGATCATAACACACAGTTTTCTGTGGCTCTTCAAAAATGAGTAAAAATGCTCAAAAACCCTGGCAGTGGGGAGTTACCTGATTTGAAAATGGCTGGCAGTGAATGAGTTAAGTACATCTATCCTGTTGAACTTATTATGGGAAATAAATATTTAAATAAAAACAAGCTGCTGATTATTTCACATTTTACTTGTGAGCAACGGCACATTTAAATCTTACAAATATAGTTATTTGGCTTATATCGTGATAGATATCGTTATCGCCTGAAATGAAAAAAAACATATCGTGATAAGAAAAAAATCTCATATCGCCCAGCTCTACTCTAGTCCAAACTGATCATGGGAGTACAATAAGACTGCAGTGCAGCATCTGCCATCACTCTGTTGTCTTAAATCTGCATGTTCAAAGTTCAAATAAATGCACAAAGCTACCTTTGCTACTCTTAGTCCTTCACCAATATCCAATTACATGGATAAAGAGAGTAAACAACAAATACAACCACTATGAAAATTACAATTCTGTATTTTACATAGTGTCCAACAAAAGTTACCAGCAGGCTTAAAGTTAAAAATAAAGTAGTATTCGTTTGAATTTGTCACAATGAGATGGCTTTATTTTTAAATGTATAACTTTGGGACATATTTCAGATCAATATATTTTAAGCTTTGAGCACCCTATCAACATATGTTCAGTCATTTCATGTCATCTGACTAAATGCTTTCAGTAAAACCAAGTCTGATTTCCCTATAAAAACAAACTTACAACAACACCAGATAACTATAATTGCCTTTCCTCCCTTTTCTGGTGAAAATGGCTTCGTGCAGGGGTGTCCGGCTCCAGTCCTCGAGAGCTACTGTCCTGCAGCTTTTAGATGCATCCTTGTTCCAACACACCTGCAGCAAATGAATGGCTTGCTACCGGGTCTGTTCCAAACATGATGGCATGCTCAAGAGGTAACCGAACCATGTGATTCAGCGGTGTTGGAGTAGGGATGCATCTAAAAGCTGCAGGACAGTAGCTCTTGAGGACTGGAGTTGGACATCCCTGGCTTGGTGTAACGCATACAGACTAACTTCCAAAATTATTTTAGTGTAATTTGTAGTAGTGCACTGAATCCCCTCTGTAGTGAGTGACTGCACTGCATAACATTGCATGGCCATCACGAATTAAACCGCTCTGTTCATGGTGGACTACAGTTTCAGTCCTTTTGTCCTACTAAGTTTATATGTTTTATAATACCACCAAACAGACTTATTGCCATCATTAAGGTCTGTGCTGTACTGTCAGGGTTTTTCAGACTTTAAAACTGGCCTTTTTAAGTCCAAGTCTAATTTCTGAGCCTTTTTCTTCAATTTAATGCATGAGGCACATTCTTTAGTCAGAGGCCAAGCTCTGTTTGATATGTGGCAAAAACTCTGCAGGAAAAGCTTACATTTTTTTCCACCAAAAACCACTCTGTCTTCCACAATAAAACCACTGGGACAGATAAAAACATTTTCCAAGTGGGGCTTAATTTACTCAAGCATATAATGCACTGTTGTTTATCAAATTGCTGCAAACAACAGGAAATTGCATAGACTTTTGTTAAGGCAACAGACTCATTCGTTTAAACTGCAGATTAAACAACGTACTATTGCTGCAGACAACCTGCCCTAAACAAGTATAACATGTGCTTAAAAGCACAGTTTTCTTCAACGAAAATAGATTGTTTATAAAGTGCTGCTAAAGCAAAATTGTAATGTCACATGAAAATAATTACACAACACACAATGCCACTACTTTGTCACACCTAGTTGGTTTTCAAGGCATTCATCATGCACATGGAAAACCACACTTAACACCATGCATTGTGTCCCAAATCCAGCTATCAGTGTAAGTCACCACACGCATTTGTGAGCCTGTGTTTAAATGAAAGAAAGGGGTCCTGGATTAGCGTTTACTGCCGCAAATCCCCTCAGTGTGGGCATACATTCTGCTCCAAACACACTTATTATTAACTGTGTTTTAGGGCCGGACGTCCCCAACACACAGCTGGTGAGTCACCTGTTACGTCAAGTCAGGGTCCTGCCAGCCGAGTTAACTCCCTAAACCCCGAGCCTCTCATCCAGAACCCCACTCTCTAATATGCAGCACTGCATGCAGGTTGTGAGAAAGCCAAAAATATACGAACCAGTCTCGACTTGAGGCTGCTGCATCTCCTGTTCGGTGACTGGGACCGTTTCTGTGGCTTCACCAGGCATAGTTGCTGCGGAGAAAAATAAGGATTAGATATTTAGTTAGTTACATAAGTCGGGACATATGAGCTCCCCAACATAAGTGACTGTTAATACACCGACTTGAAGTTGTCATAACTAGCTGAATAGGCCATAATGAACCCATGCTTTAGCCCGCAGGCTTAGTGTTAGCTCAAGTTAGCCTCAGCATGGGGAAGCTCGCTGCTAATAACCCAGTCTACCGCATTTTTCTCCAAATTCATCCTCTTTAAAGTGACCTACTTGTTGTCACTCAAATATCTCCCTCATCTCAGGCCACCTAACTCACTGCGGCCCTGACAAGGTGTGAGCGGACTGCAAGACATCATGCTCCCCCATTTTGAGCCGGTAATCAGCGGCACAACGACACATTTATCACCGAGTAAAGAGCCCACACAACGGTAATAGTTGTACGGATATAATGACTCTACATTCAATAAACACGCCAACCCTTTGATTCAGGTGGGAATGAGTAAAAAACAGCTGGATGATGTTGGATTATCAGCGGAGACACTCACCGACTCAGGACGTTATATCCAAGATGGCTGTGAGAGAGAACTTCTGACCTCCGCCTCACGATAATATCCGCTTCAGCCACAATTTCTACTTCCGGGTTATTTAAAGGCAAAGGCCTCGTTTGTTTAGCTTTATCCTACCGCGAAACACAGGAATACAAACAAAACTCAAAGCTTAATGTAATAACATTTCCAATAGTACTATAGTGAAAGAGGAAAGAATTCTATTCTCTGAAATTAAATCAATAAATTTAAGTCACAAATACCCAAATATTCCCTCAGATTGTCAGGTCTCAAAAAATGAAAAATAAAAGAAGAAAAAAATGCTTTGGGCTTATACAGTTTTACAACAGTAAAAATGTTTGGGTCTTCATTTATTTATTTATTGTCCCCCATGGGACAAAGAATATCCCTTTATGGCATATTGGTGCAGCTGAAGGCAAAAAAATAAAAATAAAAAAATAGAAGGGCTGTGTTTAGGTGCTGGAAAAATTAAAAACTTTTGAGATTAAAGTAATAGATTTTTGAAGAAAAAAAACTTGGTTAGAAACAAAATGGCCAACACCTGCCAAAACTGAAGGCAAAGATATATTTGAAAATATACATATTTTGAAAAAACATAACATGTCAAAACAGAGAAAAACCTGGAAAATCATATTTTCCATGGAGTTTCAGTTTTTGAAGGATGAAAATTAATTTGAAAAGAAATGTGTTGTAGTAAAATAATGTTAGAACATGAAACAGAAATCACAACATACCTAAATCTCGCATTGCAGTATAATTCATGCATGTAACTCGCTAGGAAGGAACAGTAAACATTCAGATTGAATGGACTCACAGGAACTTCTGAAACTCTCATTACATGGACTAGATAGTTACAGATGTTATCATTAAAGCCTATAACCTGAATATTACAGATTTGAGGCAGAGTCCCTGCTTACACATCAACAGGACTCCTCATCTTTAAGCTTCAATGGATTAAGTGAATCATGTGAGAAACCCTTTAAAAAAAAAAAAAAATTAAATAAAGGAAGACAAAGTGTTTGCAAGAGTAGAAATACTGAATTTATTCATCACAAATACAGCCAACAATTAGACAAATAAAACTTTACTGTGAAATTTTATGGTAAAAAATCAGGGATTTATTAAGCATTTTATTAAATGTTTTATCAGCGAGTCTTTTATTACAAAGCATAATAAAACAGATTCTGGCGAAATTAATGTGTAGTAGAAAAATGGCACCAAAAACACCACAAAGCATAATTAGCAACATTAGCCAACAGGACGTTGTTCTGAGGTGTCACCTTCTGATGATCCAGTTCAGAATTCTTTCTGAAGATCTGAAGGAGAAAAAAAGGAAGAAAAGCAAAATGATTAAAAGTTGCTGTAAATTTTCTGTTTAATCTATTAAAAAAAAAAAAAAGAAAAAGAAAGAAACCTACCACTGTTTCTGAGACGCTCTCCTTTCCATGAACGAGCCATTCCATCCAGAAACTGGTCAAAGTATTTTATGTACTTCGCCAGGCTGGTTCTTTTGTAATCTGAGACGAAATGTAGTAAAAGTAGTATTAGCTGAAACACTCAGATAAATCAAAGATATGTTTAAATATTTACACTATATGAATATAGTAACAATAAAGTTACTATATAAAGTTCCAATTTTGGGGGGGAACTTTATACTCCAATGCACCAGTCATTCATTCAGGTGTACATATATTTTGAAAAGTTGTGACTGAATGCAGTTTCTAGTGAAATTAGTCACAAGTTTGCTTTTTAATTGCTTTGGTTGCTAGAAGATTATGCAGTCATGTATAGTTAACATGGGAGACACCGACTTGTCTGCACTTACACTCAACTATTTGCAGTGAAATTGTGAAAAATGCGATGTAAACCAGACATGGAGAATGATCACCTTCAGAGTAAAAGTTCCACCATTTGAGATATGTTGTGTTACAGCAGTTAGGCACAACTTTTAATTTAAAGGCAAAATGTACATAAATAGTATTAACTTTGCTACCCAAAATGTACATTTTTATCCAGATGACAACATTTCATATGCCACTAGCTCTTCCCTTGATCTGGTCCTTCAACATCTTTTGGCTGTTTTTGATGCATTTCATAATTCTGCAACAGCAAGCAATTATGCAAACAATAGGTGATCTTATAGCAACCACAACAATCATAAGATTTTGGATGAAGCACGCCCTTTGCAAACAATCTCGCCTAGCAACAGCCAGCAACCTTCAGCAACCATGTGCCACTTTGCAGGGGAATTGAAAGTTTTTGGATCGCTTACTAGTGACTAGGCCTGTACGTCTTAGCCAATTATGTGTAACGAGCATTTTTTTAGAGTGCCGATGATTATTTTACATCACATGATCTTTACACTCAGAAAAAACCATCATGCCATTAAGAAGACCCTAGCCCCCAAAACACCTTATGTCAGCCCATTTAAAGGCCTGAAGATTTCAGTTTTATGTGCTGTCCAGGTGTATTTTAGGTAAAAGTTTCAGGTAGATCTTTGCATTTTTCTTTCCCCCAGCACCTCTGCTCTTGCGCTTCTCTATTGCATCTTTCTCGTCTGCCTTCTCCTTCGCATCCTCCAATTTCTCTTTCTCTTCGCCTGGCCTGGGCCGATCCAACTCCTCACAGATCAGACTACAACAAGATAAAACAAAAGTCTTCATGAGGATCACTCACATGCTGCAGACAACAGAGCACCAAACATTAAATTGTTACCTGATCGTGGGCACAGAAAAGGGATCAAATTTGTCTAATTCACTGACATCTATGGGAACAGAAATGCGGCCTGGACAGAGAGAGGGAGAGAGGACACAGTTTTATACACTCATACTTAAGTCAGATTAAATCAACCTGGTGACAAAGAAAAAAGATCCAAGGTCCTCTGAGTTTGGAGGTATATCAATAAAAAGCCTTTAATATTACACAGCTGACATTTCAGGAATAAAAACCTTGATATGAATGACAGAATATCATTTAACAGAATGAAGAAGCCAATATTTTATATAAATCCAGTGTAAGCTTTTATTATTTATGTTATTATTTTCATTCATTTAAAAACAGAATTTTATATTTACTTGGGTTATCTTTGTCTAATATCAAAATGTATCTGATTATCTGAAACATTTAAGTCTGACAAATATGCAAAAATATAGGAAACAAGCAAGTAACTGTATTTTTGTCTTCTTGTTTACAATCATGTACATGTACAGTATGACTCTTGACTCCAAGGAGCACCTTTGCCCAAAAAGTGTGATACAATATTACTAGCATGTACTCTTAGCAAAGGCCCAGACATTTCCAGTACAAGCCTCTTTAAAGTATGCTCACCTGTTTTGGGGTGTACACTGAAAGGACTCTTCAGCAGATGGTTCACACCTTTGCTGACGTTGGCGTCGAGCCGTGGGTAACAATACTGCAGCATGATTTCGTTTTCAAAGTACTGGCCCTTCTTTGCAGTGCTCTTCAAGGAGACAGATTGTAAGACCATAAGCCCTTCTGTTCTAATGTGTAAAACAATGTAAAAACTGTGAGCGAAGTTACCAACCTGTTTCCTTAAAGCCTCTTCCTTAATCAGTTTCCAACGTTTCTCAGGCTTCTTCTCCTTTTCGAACTCCTGCTGTAGGTAGCTTCTGGCATGTAATATATAAAGTCAAGTCACTTTCAACAAGATCTTTGAACTCTTTGCCAACAAATGTCTATAGGTCCAATCAATTACTTTATGCAGAAAATATGCGGTAAACTAAGAAAAGGATATCCTCAGGAACGAGTGCCAGCACTTTTTCTACAGACTCCTTGCTTCCCATCAGGTCCTGGTCATGTAGTGCATATCGGCTAAAGTATTCCTTTACCACTTCCAGAGACTTGCTGTGAAAAAGAATCACAATTTTAAAAAGCACAGAGTGCACTGTACCCAAGTGTGTGTAACCAGTGATCCCTGTATGCAGGCATGGTGATCACTGTGCTCACAACTGCACCCAAGCACAGAAATCCAGGACAGCTGTCTCAGTGAAAGTAATTAGCAAATTCACAAGGCAAACAAGAACACAGTGTGTCACTGCTTACAAAAATGGTCCTAATTAAAAATGATGCCCAGAGATTGTGTTGATGAAAGAGAGACAAAGCAAGAGAAATACTGAAAAATAAATGGGTACAATCTTACTGGAACACAGACACAGACTATAAAAGACAAACACCAAAATGTATCAAACAGTTACCTGATAAAAGGGTGAATTGGTTCAGTCAGCACTACTTTCTTTATGGTTTCATCACCACCCTACAAAACATCACATTTTTAAAATCAAACATTGCAGGCCATTTGAGGAAGATACATTTCACTAATATGCTGCTCATGAAACAAGACAAGACAACAGTCTGATTAACAATCAAATCAGAGTCTTAAGACTGTGCAGATGTAAGGAAAACAGTCACATCTTTTAACTCAATAAGTACCATATTACAGAGTTCATCCACATTTCTCAGGGTCAAATTCAAGCACTTTTTAAGCACTTTCAAGGTCCACTTTCAAGCTTTTCCAGCACATTACCCATAAAAAGAATGCATGTTTCACTTAGCATTTAGGGTACAAACTCAAAAAACGCATTTCTCTTAAAAATTAAGATTTACAAATGTGAACAAATCAACTTGTTAGAGATATTCTCCACTTGAAAAGAAAAAAACCATCAATCCCATAAAACAAGAAAACTGCGCCAAACACCACAATAATACACAGCAAGGCCAAATTAATAAGTCTTCTCATCAGATATTGACTCTTCTTTAGTATGTGGCACAAAAAAATAGGAGACAGATGTTTGTTTGTTTTTAACTAGTTAATCACCCACGCCCCCAAAAATGGGGGCAAAAGGAAGATTACCTTTAATCTGTTATAACACGAGGTCAGAAATATAAGTGCCGACAAGAGTAGTGTCCACAGAAACCTCTGAATCTCAACTAAAATCTCATATAAACCATTTCTACAAACACCAAACATTTTAGAGCAGTTACGTCACCATGAATCTGGACAGGTAATATCCATATTTTGATTTATGATTTTCTAGAGTTAAATGTGAACCAAAGCATATTTTCAAAGGTGTTACATGCTATAAAATACTTCTAAAAATTAGGCGAGGGATATAAAAAAAATCAAATTTTTCTATGTTTGAGTCACAGCGACGTTGACATAGTAACATCTGCAGTAATATTTACACGTCTGATGACATCTCACAAGTGTTACCTTTATTTTTGATACCAAGACTATTTACACAGACTCTGTAACAGCAGAGAAATACTCAATTTATTTTGGTCATTTCATTTTCGAGCAGAAAGCTCAGAAAACCCCTGAGGGCCTAACAGGTTAAAGTTAATTCCCAACAAAACCAACTTTAAGTTGTTTAACTACATTGTCTGTATTACTGTAAAAGTCATAAATGATCACCTTTAAATTGTTTGTGCTAATAACACCATTTACAATAAGACAGGCATGGAGCACTGACTGGGAGAGGCTTTGAACAGATGACATAGTTCGATTCAACATATAAGACTTTAAGAATGCACAAGCATCTACCTAAAATCTATTTATTTAGTCTATCATCTGTGATATTATTAGGTACAATTATAATGAGCCCCACTGAGCTTGAAGCCATTTATAATTTATAACAATAATCAGATTTTGAATGAAAGCGAGGGAACTTGGGTAGCACAAAAAAGAGGCTATTCTTTGTGCCCATGTAGATCAGTCCCTCTTATTACCATTATTTCTTTAAGCCTTAAGTTGGCTAGTTAAGTATCGGACTAATGTTTAAAGCTTTTACTTGAGTGAAGTAACTTACATTACTGCTACTGCTAAGTAATGTTAGCCAAATTCACAGCATATTCTATAAATCACCATGTCATAACTAACTGCTATAATAGCGCTGCCGTACTAGCACGATCGGATATCGTCGTGTTGGTGTTGTTCACAGATCATCATACTAAATGTTGTTCCAGGCTCAACATTGCAAATGACCAATCAGAATGTTGTGACGTCATACTTTTGCAACTTCGGGAAAAACCGCCGTAAAACAAAAAACTGTACTTAAGCTGCGAGAAACCGCCTCTGTCCGCCGATCAACGGACCCTGACCCTAACCCCTTAATAAACGGTAAGCAAAACTGATATTGTCCTTGCAACATTGGAATTTCATAAATGCACGAATGGCTTGGCGCGCAAAAGAATAACGTCACAACAATGTGATCGGTCACTTGCAATGTTGAACCTGGAACAACATTTTCATGATGATCTGGGAACAACACCAACACGACAATATCAGATCATCCGCCGTGCACCCATCACATTCAGTGCATTTCAATCATTTCTCCAGCAAGTTTGATAGCTAGCAAAATAATAATAGTTTTAAAAATTTGCACGTGTTATGTACACATTCTCAAAAATGATTTACTAGGACTCGCCTATCATGTGACTCGAGAGCGCAAAGTCTACCATTGTCATTTCCATCAAACACTCATTAAAACGGCAATCTCCAGGCATGTTAGCGCACGCACCCCCGAGGGGCGGGTCACACATTGAAACAGACTGACATGCAGAGGTGCTACGCAGCTCAGTCGGAGAAATTTTGCTTTTAGAATTTGCGACTCATTTTCTTTCTCTATCTGATAAGAAAACTATTCAGTCAGATAGTTATTTGTGGTGAATGAAATACAGTTTCAAGCACTTTTAAGCACCACATCTGAAATTCAAGCACTTTTCAAACCTTGAAAAGACAATATTAAAATTCAAGCATTTTCGAGGATTTCAAGTACCCGTACGAACCCTGGTATTAGTCTCTTTTTAATAATGCTCTTTTTATTTTGTTTTAAGAGTCTTAATATTTGTACTTCATGTCTGTCTATCACATGCTGTTCTAGCTGTTGTGTGGTCTGTTCTATGAATCCACATGAAGCACATTGTAATGTAGGTGCGACACTTTGTTTAATTATAATAATCATAGTTCACCTTATTATAGTAGTCTTATTTGGTCTGGCAGGAAAAGTAGCTTTTGGTGGTTTATGAGCAATGCATCAATTGACTGACTTTTCTCTAACTGCGTTACATTCAAATTATGTTTTAGCAATCCCAACCTGTCCACTGTGGTTATATCCAATAACATCTGTTAATTACAGTTTCTAAAAAAAGAAACAAAAAACTTGAATTGATTAGGTTTGGAAGTAGAAAGTACTTACAAAGGACTTCTATTAAAAGTTGAAGTACTCGTACCTTGACCAGGCTGAGGTATTCTGTCACAGCAGAGCGTGCTGCTACAGACAGTTTCCGGGCAGCTTCATCACACACCCAACAATGTACTCCTCTTCTGCCAGAATAAACCCACAGACGGTGCTGGAAACCAAAGTCATCTGGAAGTAACACAAAAACCAGCACATGCTTGATGAGAATTTCAACAAAAATCCACACAAGCTGTCACCTGGCACTGAATCTGTGATGACCAAACCTTGAAGAGCTCTATCCAGGATACGGATGGCGATGGTCATTAAGGTCCAGCACTTGGAGCAGATGTCAGCAGCACTAAAATGACAGTTTTAAAGTGTTATGTGGGCGATGAAACGGTCAGGATATTCTGCGACAGGAAATAAATACATAATTCACCTACCTGCAGCAGCTTCGGACGTCATCATAATCTGTCATATCGATATCAAACACAAGCTCCTTCTCCAGAGCCTGGAAGGTCCCCGACTTCACAGTGTTGTGTTGACTTGGCTGTGGGCAACAAAGGGAGACAAACATACTCCATACATATGTCTGCCGTGATGCACAAACTCTGTAAGGTGTGGAAAATTACCCTGTGGCTGTACACTGCTCCCACGTCGATCTTGTAGGGGTTCATCTTCTGCATTTCTTTCTCCAGCTCATTCTGCATGCTGAACGACTGGTAGCGTACATAGATGTCATCTTTCAGGGTAAACGAGAACTCGCGATTTTGAAAGTAGTTTTTCTGCACTGAGATTGTACAAGAAAAACAAAAACAAATAACACAACAAGACACACACACATTAGTCCTATATTTGGGCATTTTTAACTCTCTGTCTAACTCTTAATAGTTTTACATGTCAGCATCACAGAGCAGTGGATCCTGGCTAAATTGTGAACTGCACTTTTACGGTTTCATTTATAAGCAAATGTTACAGAATCAGAATCAGAATACTTTATTAATCCCGAAGGAAATTAGGGTACAGTACTGCATCCATCCAAGTCAGTAGATGTAATACAAAATAAATGTCTGTGAATGAGAGGGAGACAGGTGTAACAGTGAAGCTGCAAGGAGGAGCGATAGTAAAGGTGGATATATTTATACATCTGCAGTTACAATAATGGCTAGTGCACAACAGAGGTCAAGAAGAGAGTGCCGGCATGGAAGTGACAGAAGGATAGCAGCAAGAGTGAAAGGGAAGGTCTGCTAAATGGTAGTGAGATCTGTTGTATGAATTGGAGACAGGGGCACTGTCAAAAAGTAAGGAGGTTGATCCAGAGGTGGCAGAGATGAAGATTCTCAGGTTTTTATTGAGAGTGACCAGGAGACAAAGAGAGCCGAGATGGACGTATGCACAGAAGGGACAGTGAATGTACTGGGAAAAGGATTTTGAATATGGAGGTGACAAGCAGGAGGAAAAGAGGAAGACCACTGTGCAGCTTCGTAGATGTACTGAAGGAGGACATGCAGAGGGCTGGTGTGACAGAGGAGGATGTCAGGGACAGGGTATTATGGAGGAAGAGGATCCACTCTGGTGTTAAATGGCATAAAAATCAATAAAAGTGATGAATGCTCACATTTTTCTGCAGATCAGCCGTGTGTCTAATGCAATGTTTATGCTGGATAAATGATAACTTGCTGAAAACGTGAATTATTTTAAAACACTTCGAACAAAACAAACATTTGTTTCATAACTGGCTAGAGGCTTATTTTAAACACGAGTATCTGACCAGAATTTCAGCATCCCTGTTAAATAATAGCATTACTATAGATTCATAGGGATACATAAATACAAAATCATTTTACTTTTTACTGATGAATGTAGAGGCGTTAATATCAAGCTAGAATGGTTGAATAGGATGACTTACTTAAGTTGGAAGAAAGTCAAATCCAGAATAATTCTACCATTTTAGTGCCTAACAAAACACGTAGCTTCCTACATAACGCAACACAGATCAACATCCACAGTTATTTAGCCGCATTTATGCTAGGTTTCCATGCCTGTGTACTCACCTCCTCCGTAGCTCAGCCAGCGGTAATACTGGGAGAATGGGAAAAGCCGCCGGTAGTACAGCGGTAAAAGGTCCGGCAGAGAAGCCGGATCATAGTCTGATGATGGCATAATATGGTAGCAAAAATTAGCTTTGGATGTAAAGATACGGTAAAATATTGTCAAGACGCTAGCTACACTGTGACAGCTCACTGTGTTGTTTTACACCGAGGGTAGCGCGGGAAAACTCTCAAGCAACGGACAAAACCAATGACACAAGGTTGGCACAGTGACATCACCACAACCCGGAAGTTGAAAGGCAAAAAATATATTTTCCGTCACCCGTTTCCCTTTTAGGCCATAAAAAATCAACGAGGACAAAATCATCCAGGGTAATCAGAATTTTTTAAACTATTGCTGCATCGAAACGTTTCTATAACACCGACAATGGCTTTCCTTCTTTCTTTCTTATGGTTTTACTTAACCTTGTAATATTAGTCCTAGAAGCTTACAAAAGGCGGACGTGACGCCAATGAAGAGAGGTTCATGGGACATGTAGTCGTTTGGCAGCAATAACTACAAAATACAATATGACAAAATAAAAAAGCTGTGGTAAACATTATAAATTAATTATTTAAAAAATAAAGTAGCTCAATGAGTAAACATGAAAACAAAAAACAAAGAGCACAGAATATAATACAATAAAGTGGTTTTTGGTAAAGTAGCTCCATAAATTACTATATTATTGTAAATCCATCCAACCATTGCTCTCACTTCATCCCTCCTCCAGTTTTGCTTTTTGCTTTTGTCCTTGATACTACCAGTAGCATGAGATGGTACCTGCAGCCCATTCAAGTCACACATGTGACACGCTCTTCCAGGTTAGAACATGCAGACACGCTGCAAGGTTTGCTGTGTGGCATAGCATCAGGCCCTTACATCCTTCAGTGGATGTTGGGAGACCCAGCATTGATACAAATGTCCCTTTCATTTGCACCAACACAGCTGAAATGGTTTCATGATGGTTTATGCTTCTGGGCCTGGGGGCCTGAGCAAAGGAAACAAAAAGACTGGAGTCTGAGATGCGACATGATGGGGCATAGGACAAAACAAACAACTAATTAGAAACTGAAAGCAAACAAACGAAAATGGGGGGAGGGGGGGGATTGAATTGATTTAATACTATCAATTCAATTTTTCCTAAGCTGCACTTTGTGCTGTACATCCCTAGAGGGCAGTACAGTCTCATGACAATAATTTGAACTTTCCCACATTAATCCACATTTCAGGAAATTTGTTTTCTTTTAGTAGTTTTCATCATCCTGGCAGATCAGTTGTACTAAAACACTCAGTTATTCTGTTTCTTGCATCTTTAGTATGAGCAGTAAACACTCAGGAAAGAACAGAGGACACTTCCACAGTTTTCAGTGAAGCATGGATGAAATGGTGCCAAATACGGGATCCAAATGAGCTAAACAAGGACAAACAGCAGCTTAATTCAGCTCTTTTTCGTGTTAATTGATTGATTCATGCCATTTTTACTCTTCAGTCAAATCCACCCTTTGCTTGACATTTGAAAAGGCCACATGCGCTTTCAAGACAAAAAGTGTCAGGCATGGAGCCTCTTTCTGTCCTGCCCATCAGTCTGGCTTGCTGCACTATTAGTGTTTCAGCTTTCACTGTGGTGCATCAAACACCTCCTGACTGAAGTGGTGCTGCTCACAGTGAAGGTTGAGAGGTGTGCAGCCACAAGAGCCCTTGTCAGCTGTTGTACTTCTAATGTGAAACAACACTCTCTATTTGCAGTGTTGTACTTTAAATATGTCTGGCTCTGTAATATTGTTCATTCCATCTCATCCCCAGACTTGAATCTCTGTACATCTGACACTCTGTTTTTATTTCAGACCAAACAACAAACCTTCAAAATCATCCTTCCCCACTGAAGACATAACAGTAACTTGTAACTTCTAATATACAGGAAATATTTCAAGGGAAAACATCTTCATATGCACTACATTTAATCTCCCTCTCCACTTTCACACACACATGTAAATGCTGAGCGAGCCAACTACAGAAACGTGTAATACCTACACTCTAGATTGATAGTAATGAACCAGCTTCAGTGAAATGTGCCACACCCAAGAGCAACTGATAGACAAGTAATGCCAATACATTTCCTTTTATGACTGCACTTTATGCTAATATACCACTCATACCCTGATTTGCATAATGCAAGAGCTCTCAACCTCATCTTACTTGAATTATGCAAATTTTTTTTCACTGCAAGGCATATTGGATGCGATGCATTTCCCCCCCTTTTGAATCAATTTCTAGAAATCATTTGAATCAGATTTGGGATTAATGCCTTCTGTTGCTTTTATCCACAATTCTACCGTATATTAGAGTAGCAAATTAATGCACATTTACATTCAGGAGTTTGCAATATCGAGCATTTCTGTGAGTTGTTCTATTTAAGCTCTCCAGTGGCTCATCATACGCGAAGACACATACTGTAACACATAGCAACCAGACACAATGCTAAATGTCAGTGGGGCAAGTTAGATAAGGCAAAACACGGAGTGAAGATACAACTTTCAGCTGTTGAATGTAGGTCAGACTGCTGTCAGGTGTCCACGGAGCCCACTGGCCAGCACCAAAGGTCATTGTGTTTGCTGTACATGAGGAGTCGTAGTTTTGCGATGATTTAAAAGTCACTGTGTCTTTAGATGGCCAAAGTGTGTCACTGTCACCTTTCATCAGGAAAACCTGGTGAAACAGGCTAGTAGAAACCCTAAAACCAGTCTGCAGTGACGCAAAAATGCATGTCCAAAGACACAGTAACCTTACCACAGGAGGTATGAGAGCTAATTGTTTTCATTTTTGGATTCCACTGCTTGCTTGTCTTGATTTTAATCGTGGTCTGTTTGTATCTGCATACATATGTTTACGTATGTTTACATATACCGTGTGTTAATATGAGAATGGCTTCTACCGACTCGATTAAGGCAGGAGGCTTGAGACAGACTAAAATGACTGGTAACAGGTGAAACCTGATGCCTTTTATAGACTGCTAAGCCAAACGTGATTTGATGATTTTATCATAAAAAGACAAGACATATTGGAATGGTCATTGATCAATGGTCATGACAACTGGCAAATTAATTACCACGAAACTGACCTCATGGCCCATTGCCAATCAGTGGTGCTAGTGTCAGTCATTATGCAAATGTACTATTTATAAAGACGGAAGAAGTCGCTTGGATGAGTGACGAAACATTTCTCCCACTGAAAAGACTTCATCCAAAATCTTTTTTGGGGGGGGGATTTCCTTACCTGGATGATTGGACATAGACTCATATTGGAAATGTAATAATTGATTAATTTAGCAAACAGAGGACTCAGTAGGATGGGAAAGAACCATTCACACCTACAATAGCCTGGCGCATCTCCTTCCACATGCTGGTCAACAGCTTGGCTACACACTGCTGTGGGATGGCATCTCAGTCTTCAACCAGCATTTGTTGTAAGTCAGCCAATGTGATTGTGTTGGTCAGAGAATAAGATGCTGGCTTCTGTTTGTTAAATGAATCAATCAATGAATCAATTGTTAAATTGCCAATGTCCTGTTTCTTCAGACATTAATCAACTAATCCAATAAATGACACCAAAATTCAATTCAATTCAATTCAAGTCAATTCAGTTCAATTCAATTCAATTAAATTCAATTCAATTCAAGTCAAGTCAATTCAGTTCAATTCAATTCAATTAAATTCAATACATCTAGTGTTAAACCCCAAAGGCAGTTACCTCAAGCCGCTTTTTATTGTAAGGTAAAGACCCTAATAATACAGAGAAACTCCAACAATCAGACGTCTCCCGGTGAGCAAGCACTTGGTGACAATGAGAAGGAAAAACCTTTGGCAGAACCAGGCTAAGTGAGTTAAAGCAAAATAAGATGTCTTGCAATGACAGAGAAGATTTGGCAAGTTTTTCATGGGCACAACCCACATGCTCAACTCAAGATTGCTACAACAAAGAAACAATCATCCCAAAACAAGTTTAAAATGAAAGTTAAGTTTATTTTTACTACATTATATTCGATGTACAAAATCTTGGATACCAATTTTTCTTTATAACCTTAATGTAGGCGAACAGTGTGTAGTAATACATTTATTCTTTAGGTAATAGATGGTTGTAAATACAATTTGCTGTACATAAACATACACTTGGTTACATCTTTATCTTCTGTTTATGTACATAAACAGCAAGTACCACCCCTATTTTGCTACTCTTTAATGAGGTTTTACTTGAGTCTAAATAAAATGATGTAATTCTGGAGAGAATAGTAACAACATAGTCATAAAATGTTGAGTTTCACAGAAACTTCAAACAGTCACTGTTGGCTTTTCACAGATTTCACAAATGGGGAAATGTTAATCTGAGGAGGCTGACCTCGCGATTGAGTCATTCAAAAATTCCTGAAAACTCGTTTAAAACAAACAGTCCACCAAAGTGTTTGTAGTATGCAGGGTGTTTCACACTAAGATACAGTTAGGACGCTAGTAGGGAGAAATAGAGCTTGAGGAAGTGAGGTAACAGAGTGTATAAACAGAAGCAAGACAATAGGAGACATTTGCGTGGTTTCTCTGTCAGGTTGCAGCTTCTGGTCCATTCAAAGTTTCTCACATTACATTATTCTCGTAAAAAGCCCTCTGCATTTATGTTGTGCACACCGCACCATGCTCCATTTCCTCTCTGCCACACAGCTGACACTCTCGAATTATCTGTTTTTGTCCAGACTGATGAAACCAACTGTCATTTGTTTGATTTAGCAGGCAGCACTTTGCCCTGTATGCTGCACACTGTATGTTACACAAACACGTGCACACATGCAGTCACTCATATGTTTTGTGTGAAAATAACTGCATCCTTACATGACTGTGACACATGAATTCAATTAACAGAGTCTTTCAGGCTACGTATACATCACCAGATTCAGAGTAGCTTTATTTGTATGTGATCCTACACTTTGAACCATTTTAGTTGAGCCTTTTCATGACAAAATGACCTTTGACCTTAGGTATGGCAAGGTTTAAGGGGGAGAATAAAACTTGTGTATGTGTATGGGTATGCTTTATTTTCTCTGGTCTTTTCTTGCGCTCATTGCTGACTTTGTTGTTACACTGCACACAAAACCCTCACTGACACCACTCGTATAACAGATGAGGTGCTTTTGATGACTCCTGGATGCACCTACAAAAACCGCCTGACAGAAGAGGAATTTG